AAAACGAAAAGTTTCAGCAACCTTCAGGTTCTGGCCTTTAGAAATGCATGGAAATAAAAGAGTTACGTCTGCGGGCCAAAATTAAAAGAAACTGGTGTAGAAAAAGGATAAAAAAAAGAAAAAGCTAGAGGAAAACTTGCCTGCACTTTTGTCGTTGTCCATCCTCATGTGTCTGTGCGAATCTTCATTAGCAGACTAAGGCTAAGACAAAGTCTGAGTCTAAGCGATTTCCCATCCAAAGTTTGTCATTCAAAGTTTTGCCAAGCGAGAAATTGATTTAAATTCAGAGCAACATACTTTCGGGCTAACCTGAAAATGACTGACATGCCAATTACCCCTTGCAAATCGTGATTCACGATTAAAGCCGCCAGTACTTTATTACTTTATTTACCAAATAGCCAGGCTTTATGGCAGACGAAATGCCAAGGGCCAGGACATCATAGCCTGCCATAAAGTATAATTAAAAATTAATACACAAACTTGTGCCGCCGGTGCTTTAATGTCATTTATGCAGCTTGTTTTTCGGTCGGGTTAATATACCATAGACAGTTGGTCCAACCCCTCTCCCGTGGGGCTAATGATGTGAACTGTTTGCCGACTGCCGCCTGCAATCACAAAAGTTAAATATATGCAGACCGCTGACCATGCCGAAAATCAACATCATTTAACTGCAACAACATGTTTACAACCCATCATCATCACCCTCCATAGAAAAGCAAGCGACGTTTTTTTTTAATTTTTTCTATATTTCAGTTTTTTTGGGATTTTTTATTTTTTGCTTTGTTCACAGAAATTCTCATCAAAATATCAAGTTACGTACAATAATAGTTGTCATACGTTGAAAAATGCCTTCGGTTTATACTTATACAAGAATAAAAATAACGTTTTTCTAATGTTGATGGATCTTGTTCGTCTCCTCTCTTATTCACGTTTAGCTGTTACAATTAGCTTCATTCTGCCGCTGTTATTCTTGTTTGTATAATAAACTAAACCTAAGTACAAGAAATGTTCTCCTTCGATTTTCTGGCTTTTTCGCCCAATTGTTTCTTCTATGTTTCTTCTGTATTTATTTTCTAGATTCTTCTTATAATTTGTTTCCCCTTATAAAATGATTTCCGAATGGAGATGCACAAAAAGCCGCAACAAACAAGCCATAATAATAATAATTAATAATGTTTAATGATCAATAATTTTGTTTTTGTTTTTGTTTTCGCTTTTGCTATAATTATATAATCTAGGCGGTTAAAGGGGCGCGGGGCGAGGCTGAAAATATGCTAATTGAATTAAATTCTATTAATTATTCTCGCAGTTAATCAACTAATTATTTATGCAAACATTTCGTGTCAGCTGCAAAATAATTGCGAGTTCAGTTATTCAGCTCTATTTGTATTTAGGTTTTAATTGTCTGCTTGTTTAGCAAAGCGCGGAAAAAAACAATCAATCGTGAAAAACAACAGTCAAGGATTTTGTAGGAACCTGGAAAATTGGGATCTGGGTAAACGGGATGCTTGATTTGTGAACTTAGCACACATCGAATGCACATCAATAATAGTAATTAAACACTGACAATTAGATTTTTTGCTATTTGCTATTAGCTAAGAATTTTTTTCTGTTTTGCACAAGCATTAAATACAATTATTATGTTTTTGTATTGATTTTATGTTTTTGATTCACTTACTCCTAAAATGTATTTTTCGTTTGGTTTTTCCTGTGCCGAAACTTGTGAATTTTCCATTTTATACCATTAGTTTTGCTTATCTTTTGATATCAATTACACTGCCTTATGATTACAATTATAAATATGAATGCATGCCTGGGGTTGCGATCATGTACAGAAACGAGGAAGGGCTAAACAGAGTTGTCTCGTAAAAATTCTAAGTAATCACCACATGCTGCCAAAATCACCCCCTAAATATTTCCAACTTCTATAACCCTAAATCCATCTCTCAACTTTCTTAGCATTCCATCACCATTCTTGCTTTAGTAACCGTTCGTGCGTTCGTAGCTCAAATAAAACGTACTTCTTTAGTTGTAATTTATAATGCTGTGCCTTAATTTGTAGATGCTTTGCATAATCCTCCCCAAAAACCGGCTTCTACTCGCCCTCGGCCATCTACGACAGATAAACATACACATTAATTTAATCCACATACACACTTTACACACAACTGCCACGTAAATAGTGTTCCTTAAATTCCCTTAAATACATATCCGCGTGTATATATTTATATATATTTTTATGTAGTTTACTTTTGAGTTCATTTAACATTAAACTAATTCATTTCACTAAACTATACACAAAATCTTTACGAGTTATGCCCTTATTTGCCTACATAAAACGTTTTACTCCCCATTTCCCGACTCTATACTATATATGTGTGTATATGCCCATTTCTCCTCCGAAATATATTTCTGCTATACTAAGCTTGGCCCTCCGCCATTTAGTCTACTCCTAAACTAAACGCTTGTGATACTCCGCTCTTGAACGAGGAAAATCCTTGGGAAAGGGAAAATGGATGGGGAGGGAAAATGGGAAAATTGCTAAGCACATTTGCAAACGAAACTCTAAACGAAATTAAAATGTATTTACTCTAGTTTTAGTATACTTTATTTATTTTTATGTGTGCCTGCTGCCAAATATTTTCCTGCCCTGCGACTTTTGACTTCCGCTTTCTTTACGAGCTGTACGAGCTGTAAATCTGTAGAAAATGCTTATAGATTTTCCCCAGACTCTCGTACTTTGCTGGCTGGCTGGCTGGTTACTTTGCAAAAGCTGACCCCGGGGAAAGCTGCCTTTGTAAAATGCTCAAGTGTAGACACTAAAATATATCCATAGTTTTTGGTTTAGTACTCTCTAGACTCACATTCAGCGTTACTTAAAATTCGTACTTCATTAACTTTAATTGCGGGATCGCGGCAAGGCCTTCCCTCTTACGTATGCGTAGTTTTGCTGCCGAATCGAAAAATCGAAATGATCGAGTGGTACTTAACCTAATCGCTCTGGGCTCACACACCATATAGTACAATACATTTTGGAGTACAGTACTTTATGCCATCTGTTTCGGTTTCGGTTTCTGTTTCGAAATCTCATATCATGTACATAATATATATATATATATATTTTTGTTTACTTTTTCTATTTTGCAATTGTTGCATAAACGCGGAACACCTCGTTGACCAGTCTTTCATTTTTGTTTTACCTTTTTACACAATAATTTTGTTTACATTTTTCTCATTTTTTTTAAAATACACATTTGTCGGTTGTAAAATACATATATATATATTTATATATATATTCTTGTTTATCCATATCTATATAGTGACGCTCACTCTGCGCTCGTGACTATCCAGTATCTGCATTAGGATCTAAATATGCTGTTACGCTTTCGATTTTTAGTTTAAAGGTTTTCTATACAAAATATTTCTTATGTTCGGGTTTCTATTTTTACTGTATCGGTTTTTTGGTTATAGGTTTTTCTCAAAAGTTAGACTAAACTGATTGAAGCATTTTTGACACATCGTATTGGATTTGGATTTTTCACGTTTTCATTAAGTATTGTTCAGTGCAAGTTTCGCTTGGAAGCCAAACGGGATTCTGGAACTGGAACTGGAAGTGGATTTTCATTTTCCGTTTGTGGCGCGTTGATCTGGTGATATATCGATACATACAAATACGATAACATTCAAATGACACAAAGCACAAGCAACACACGTACATATTGATATCGACAACGATTACAAATCAGAATCGTTAAAACTCTTCTCCCATCGACAATCAGTAAGAATAAAGCTAGAAAAAGGAGACAAATTGTATTTCGTGTTCGTATGTACATAAAAATTAATATATATATATCAAGAGTTTCACTAAATTCCAATTGGAGAGGACTTGCAATGTGTTTTTTTTTTTTTGGCCAAGTGTTCCTTCTTTAGCCCTATACTTTTTGCATGTGTGCTGTCATTGGTTTTTTGGTTTTGGTTTTGGTTTTTCATTTATTTTTTCTTTGCCTTAGCTATTTTGTTGTTGTTGTTCTCTGGATCACAGAATTTCTCATCACACAAACCATAATGATTGACCGATCGATATGCACATGCGTACATGCGTGTACATATTGCTCTCGATCAACGTTGTATACTTTGATGTCGTGTCTCATTCGCTGAGGGGTGCTGGTGGAAAACAATAAGAAGTCGATGGAAACATTCGCTTTTCACATACTTTTTCTTTATTTAAAAATAATTAAAAATTAAACAAATCATTATAAACAAAAATGAGGAAATGATACACTACAGTAAAATAAAAAGCAGCACACAAAAAATGAAAGAACTAACGAAGTTTTTAGACCACTGCAAAAAAAAAGTGATCCGAACCAAAATTTACTTATCTACAAGGAATTGTTTGATTTGATTTGATTAAACTAAAATTAATGAGGCACATAAAGAAGAATTTGTATGTTAAGTCGATAATGAATTTAGTTTCGTTTTTCGATCGAGAATAAAAATTTTGATTAAATTAGGTATACATATCAAAATGTGTTCGTAATACTTTCCATCACTTAGGCAATGCATAAGAAAATTAAGGGTACATTAAATAATTACATATATTTATTAAAAACATAGCAACAAAATTGCTTTTTCTTCAAAAACCGAATATCAATTGAAATCTAATTTAGGGATTTATTAAATTTAATGTTTATAGGTTTCCAATTTTGAGTGGTGCGGTGAAATGATATTCAGACCTAGGCAACATTTAAATTACATTTAAAATTAATTTAAGAAAATAAGCATTTTCAACGTTTTGTGTTTTGTTTTGTTTAAAACATACTTTGCACTTTTTTCTTGTATTTGTATTTCTATTTACTCTTGCTGACATATGAAACTAAATATTTATATTAATTCTTTACATTTACATATATTTTTTCTAGGTTTTAGATTTTTGTTTTTTTTTTGTTTATTTGTTTTTTTTTTACATTTTCGTTTTGGCAGTGTTCACATTATGAAAACAAAAATATTTTTTTCCATTAAATTACTAGGTTCTTTTTTTGTAATTTTTTCTAGCGTTTGCTGTTTTTTTTTGCTGCTTTACTAATTAAATCTGCTTAGCTTTGGTAGATTGTACACAATTTTTGCTGTTTGTTCAAAACTTGCGGCTAAATGCTAGGTGTGAATGGGGGAAATGCGATCAGGCTGCTATAGCTTAAACTTACACTTAACAAGGCATTGAAACAAATCGAATTTGCAATTGAAACGATAACGACGATAACCATACGATAACGAAAACGATAACGGAGACAATAATGGCAACACAAATATACATCAGAATCAGAATCAGAGAACTTGAATTTCCATCTTTGTGCTTGTGTTGTGATGTTTTCTTTTCTTATGTTAAATTTTTTTGTTCAATTTTTTTTTTGCTTTTTTGTTTTTTATTTTACCACCCCTCTCTGCTCCACGAATTAAGTGGTTTTGATTAGCGTTACGCAAGTTTTTCATCGTTCCTTGATGGCACACAGTTTCCGCTGAACTCCTCTCCGCCTCTGGCTTTTCCGACTTTTCCGACCCTTTCGGCATTCCCTGCTTAAATCTCGCCTCACATGTGGCGCTTCATGTGCAGCGCCAGGTGATCGGACCTCGAGAAGCAGCGATCGCAGTTGCGGCACTTGAACGGCTTGGCACCTGTGTGTTTGCGGTAGTGGCGGGTCAGCTCGTCGCTCCTCGCGAACCTCCATTCGCAGCCCTCCCAGGAGCACTTGTACGGCTTCTCACCTGCAACGGGACGGGGAAAACGGAAAACTCTTATTAAATAAGTTACATCCAAAATGGTAAGAGCTAGAATTCACTGAACCAAATTGGTGTTTGTTTTAAAGTAGACCCACAAATAAAGTACTATCTCAAAATAACTAACAAAACTTTTAAGTCATATTAGAGCCCTAAAAATTTCTGTGGCAACCCATTCCAATTTATAAAAAAAATAAAATAAACCTTAATTTTTAAGAGAAATAAGATTTAATGTAGGTTTTAAGTAGGTGGAATGAACTTCATAAGTAGAAAATCTACCTTTAAATACATTAAGCAAAGTGTTCTTGTCAATATCAATAGGCAAAGCACAGGAAGAACTGTTTTTGGCCTAAGAACAAATGTTAAGGCCGCTAACATTTTTTTCTGTGTCTTCCGCATTGGAGAGTGGCTGCAATTTCTCCGTTACTTCGCTGCAGCAGCACAAACAATAAAGCGCATAAATATGCGTGCTCGGGGAGGCAAGGGCCAGAGTTTGGGGAACATTTTTTATTTAGCACGCGCCTGCCAAATGAAAAAACTTTTTCGACGCTGTAGCTCCGCGGATGAGAAATATGCATAAAGTAAAACACGAGTAAACAGAGTGTGGTGGGTTAAACGGGTAAACTGGCTAAAATGGGGAAAAATGGGGGTAAATCGTGGCAAGAAGGATGGGGGGCACAAACGCACAAACAGTCAGGAATTTAAGACAATTAAAAATGAAAAACTGTAAAATTAAAACCGAAAAGGAACGGAACGAAACGAAACGAAATGATGCTAAAGTCGGCGTCAACGGTGTGCCAAGCGCGGTCCTTTGCCAACATTTTTCATGCGTGCCAAAAGCCTCAAAGGATACAAGCGGAGTAGCGCCAAAAGCCAACCAGAACAGAGCAGGATCCACATTTGCAGCCAGTACCAGTACCAGAGCCAGAGCCAGAGCCAGAATCCGAATCAGAAACAGAGCCATGGCGAAAACCAGCCAGCCGAAAGGAAAAGGAAATGCAGAAGTTGTAATTTCACACAAAGCAAAAAAAAGAGTGAGAGGAACCTAAAAATGCGAGGGACCGAAAGGGCGAGAAAGACCTGAACAAAATAGAGCGGGGTGTAAACGTAAAGCTGGCCAGTGCCAGGGCACACTGAAAAAATACAAAAATACGTAGCCAAACCAAGCCCAAGCCCAAACCACCGAAAAAAATAAAAATGGGAAAATTATTTCAGTTTAAAAGACAAACAGCAGCCGAGGCAGGAAATTGCCGCCGTTGCTGCCGTTGGAAAAGCAGTAGCAGTAGAAAAAATGAAAAAAAAATAAATGAAAATGGAGCGAGATAACCGGCAAGTAGACGACGACAGCCAAGAAAAATGCATAAAGCTGAGTGGAAAACTTTGTAACGCATACCACACACACATAGACTTGGCTTAAAACTTAATGCATGCGGAAATGTGTGATATTTCCGTGCTCAATTTCACATTATGCACTTGCGGCTTTCCTTCCATTTCCCTTCATTTTTCCCCACACTTTCCCTCCATTTTTCCCAGGCCAACCCTTCCGTTGACCGGAGCTTGGACTTGCCGGCTGTCTTAATTTCCATTTGTTTACACTTGGTCATAGCTCAAGTCGCATCTGTGTGTATTTGTGTGTGTGTGTGTGTGGATCTGCATGTGTGTTGCTGAAAGTTTTGGTAACTGCCTTAAGATATTGATTTTATTTGTTGGTGAATATGATATAATGCTGATATGCTAGTTCCTTCAATAAATGTTGATTAGTTTTTATGGTGGATATGTTGGTGGATATGTTGGTGTATATGTTGTTGACTTTGTTAATGATTGTTGGTTATTGAATAAGTTGAAGAATGTGTTGGTAATATTGTTGTTAAAAGAACAAAGGAATAAGGAAAATTCTTTTGAAGCTATGGACTAAGGGGTATATATTGTTGATTTTGTTGATGAATGTGCCATCGTTATGTTGTAAGTGAATATCTTATAGAAAGTGTTGGTGAATTATTAAAGAACGGGTTGGTAATGAAGAATTTTAATTTATTTTTGTTATTTTTAATATTTAAGTTGATGATTACGAAGGCGATTACCTTGATAAATGTGCTACGAAAAGCCTTGCTAATTTCTCTAGTAAGTGTGTTCAGTTGTTGAGTATAATGTGAATATATGTTTGTGGGTGACTGCCACTTGCACTTTGGCATGTTGTCAGAACTGTTTTGGTATCGAAGCATTGGCAATAAATAAACGAATGCACACTCACACATATCGTTGTCTTTGGCACTTTTGGCCAACAGAGCATCCCTCCCACCCCCCTTTTCCTATCAGTTTTTCTCTGTTTCTGACTATCTGCTTCTACGGCCTCCCCTTGCAGTCCTCTGGCTGTGTAAATCAGCGTCAAATGCACAAAGTGCAGGCCCAGAGATCTAGGATGCGACCCCCAAGAGTCTCGTATTGAAGTGCATTTAAACGGCAAAAGAGCTGGCAGCGGGCGGTCGGCAATCCGAGGGGAAAAAGCAGCGATAAAGCACCCAAAATGGCCGTGTTATCTGGCCATTGAAGTGGCCCGGCAAAACGAAACGAAACCAAAAACGAAATGAAACCGAAACGGGCCAACAACAAAATATAGGAGATGGCAAATACTCTGACTAATTGGATACCCTTTTTTGGGGACTTAAATTAAGTCCCTTGAGAACTGTTGGGTATATATAAGTTGTAATAATTTATTAATAACTAATCTCAATACAGTTTAAAATCAAACAAATCAATTCTTTCAGAAACCAGTAGTTTTTTAAAAGTACTTATAAAGGTGTCTCAAAGTATTCAATGTAAAAAATATTTTTGAACCCTAATTCCTAAAAGACGGCGGTCTTATTTTTTACTGCATACTTTTAGGCACCATTATTATTTATTTCAAAACCGTATTGATTACTGAAGCAACCTCCCAAGTAGTCATTTATTTAGACTACAACAAATTAATCCCATAAGTAATCGTTATACCCCATTCTCTACCCTTTTTGGATGCACTCTGCGGACCTGGCCCAATAGTTTGCTATTACTCAGGCTCAGGATATTGGCCATTTCAATGGGCCAAGCCCAGAAGTATGCAATGGCCGCGCATGTGAAACAAGATGGTTTTCGCGGGAAAAGCCCTTTAATTAGTTTTCATGGCAAGTCATCTGAGCTGACATTGTTAGCGGCAATGGAGCTGGTGGAGCCGTGGTGGACCTGGCCAAAAAGCCAGCCAATCGGCAACTGGGTTAAGCTATTTTCGCCTGCTTTTATTTCCTCCAATCGCGACGAGACGTCGCCATGTTAATTTATTGAGCCGAACGCAGTTAAGACTTAACCTCGACCGTTTGTCTGTATATATATATATATGTATTGATAGTTTTCAGTTTCAGGCTATGGCTGTGGCAATGGCTATGGCTTTGGCCATAAAGCCTGCACTTGTAAATTGTTTAAGGGCAATAAGGAGGAGCCGGACTGCAGCCGCTTAGCAAAAAGGAGCGGCGAATGGAGCCAGTTAATATTTTATAAATTTCACTTGGCGGGCTGGGTTTTAATTTCAGTCGGCAATAGGAAAGAATGAACCGTCGGGAAAAGCGGGAAAAGGGAAAAACGGGAAATGGTGCTGGGGAAAATGGCTGAGGAATCTCTTTTCCTTCGTGGCTTGCCTTTTTATGGAGCTGCTGCTCGATGCCTTCTCGGCTTTTGCACTCAACACAATTTTTATGGTCTGTTTGCGTCTTTTCACTTGATTGCACTTGTAATCTTTTCTTAACGGCTTCGGCGTCTCGTCGCTTTTCCCGGTTTTCCCGGGCTTTTTCCGGGCTTTTCCCACACTCTGGCCTTTTTTATAGCCGCCTGTGTTTAACTAATTGAAATCGTTTGTGGCCAAAGTTTGCGAGCTGGATTTTATTCAGCCGAATGTCGCTTTAATTGATATTCAATTGTTCTGATATATATCTTTCCCATGTGTGTGTGTATGCGCTTGAATGGCTTTCTAATTAAATGGCGACGGGAACATGCAAATGCAAATGGAAATGGAAATGGTCGAAAAGCCACAGGAGGAAACGCAGGAAGTGCGCTCGAAAACCCAAATCAAATTAATTTCACTGTCTGTTTCGCCCGAAAACCCCCTTTTGCAAATTGTTCAAGGACACTGTTTGGCAACTAAATAATAGCTCGTCATCAATTATTCGCATGCGTCCGCTTTTCAAATGCGACAACATTTTAAGAATGCCCCCATCTAGGCTCCATCTCTAATGAAATTCTCCTCTGAGCTTCATTTGCCATGCAAAAAACGTAATTCATTAGGTTTTCTTTAATTTAAAAACCTCGCCTGGTCTCCATGGTATCATTAAAATAATTACGTTTTCCTTTTTCGCCCCGGCTCGTTTCATAACATTTTTTTCCTTTCTTATTTTTTTCGCCTGGGTCGCTGGAATTTCAGGGGCCAAATCAAATGTTTCAATCTTATCGTCGGACCAACACCTTGGCTTTTGATTTATTGGTCTCCCCGGGCTTTTGCTTTGGCCTCTCCTATCTGCCCTGCTGCACTTCCAGAAGTTGAACATGTGTAATTAATTAAAAACTCCTCAGGTTCAGGTTCATTTTCATTTTTGGGGAAAACTATAGAAGTTCGGTTCCTGGCAAAAATTAACACTTTAAGCTGTTGGCGCAACAAAACAATGGGCAAACAGAGCGGATGGGTGTTTAGTTGGTTTTGGCCAAGATAAACTGAAAATTATGAGCAAAAACTTTGACTGTTATGGATTTTTATTGAACCAAAGGCTTTTGGTTTTCCTGCGGCAAAGGCAAACAACCAAACAAACGAGCAACAACGGCCCGGAATTCGATGTTAATTAAAATGTTAAGCTCCGCCGGCCAAAGTAAATTTATAAATTGAGCAATATCCTGCGGCTGTCACAGAAAGTTGTTGCTGTTGACATTTGCCACATAGTGAAAGGATAGAAGGGCAGGACCTTTGCCAAGCCGAGCCCTGAGCTGCACATGAATCTTGCTTATGTGCTGATGATGGCCACGCCTTTAAGGGGCCATTCAGGGCCTCAAAACATAGCAACTTTGGCCAACATGCGGATGGTCACTGGACAAACAGAGAACCCACACACACACACACACACACACCCATTCTGTCTCAATTGAGTGAGAAATATCCAAGGCCCGAATTTCATTTGCCGACAAAACATGCTGTTCTTGCAAAGATCCAAATGGGACTTGGAAGCTAACACTTGCATGCATAAGTAAACAAGTCCACACATGGCCTGCCATTATACCCACCATTCAGCCTACTCTTTATCCAGGGTACACTCGATTCGGCACCCTAATATTTCTTCTGTTTGAATTGTTTGGCAAAGACATTGCAAAATCATTTGCCTGGCATTTGAGTGTGTGCCAAATGATTTGTTGGTCCCACCCCTTTTGGCGCCCAAAGAAAACTGACAAGCCAAAACAAAGAATGAATCTACCAAATTCATAAAGCATGGCGAGAGCAAAGTCCTCGGCTTACACAGAGAAAAATTTAACTGAATATTGGTGAGATTGAGTATTTAACATACTGAAATATTGTGAAACTAAATGCCATGGAAATGAAATGCAGATAAAAAATTATCAAAAGTTTAAATTTACCAACATTCCTGGCCTTAAATTAAACTATGTACATTTATGTGGATATCAGTCAGATTTAGTATTTGACATTCTGGACATACTAAAGCAAAGTTACAAAATCATTAAATAAAATGACCCTCAAATCCAAATTTAAAGGTTGAACATAAAATTAATTCAAAGACTAAGTATTTGCCAATCCCCAAATCATAATCAAACAGTCTAGGTGGATATGTATTTCGTATTAAAATTAAAATGTTCCATAGTTGGAATTTCGAAATTTTCTTGGCTTACGAATAAGCTAAAATTAAGCATTTGAATTACTGAAGTTAAATCATTTAATTAATTAATTACAATCAACAAATAATATCCATAAAGTCTAGATGATGAGGTTTTTCTTACCGAAATGAAAATCCGTATTAAAACTTTGAAAAGTTGAAAATAACTTTAAGCCAAACCCATAAATCCTATCAAATTTTCGTTCCAGTGCACAAGTTAAAACTGAATGTGCACAAATGTTTTTCGCCAGCAACTGCAAACTGTTTTTTTTTTGCCCAATTTTTGGCAGAACTTGAAATGGATTTTGGTTTTCTATTTTATGGGTTAAGTGTTCGCTGGCAAAAGCTCTTGTAAGCGCACACGCAAACGCACATTCGAACCCATCGCCATCGTTGTAGGGCACAAATCAATAGATTTGCTCTCTCGTGTTCGAATGTGGTTGTAATAAAATTACATTTCAACGCTGGCGATGTATGTGTGTGTGTGTGTATGCGACCAATATTTCATGTTTGAATTATGCGATTTTTATTGAAATTTCAAGCATCGTCTGCTGTCAGGCGATGAGGTTGTTTTTGGTGGCCCTGCCCATCCCGGATGATCCTGCCCCCATATCATCCAGCCCATTGCATGTTTTTGCCGCGACTGTAAGGCTGTGGCAAACTGTGGAAACGGTGTCGGTCAAACAATGCAACATGTCACTCCTGCCTGTCGCTGGGAATTCTGTCGAGGACATTGTTGTCGCAGCCCTCTGATTTATTGGTCCAACACATAGGAGCACAGAAGCACAAAAATACAGGTGAGGTTGCAGGTTGCAGGTTGCAGGCTACAGCTTTTCGGCCCTCTTCCCAAGGCACACGCTTTTAATTGCCGACTGTGGCAGTTGGAAATTCGGATCTGTCAGTTGCACACAAACTACACACACACTCTACACACCACATTCAGTTCATTCATATTTCGGTTGAACCCCCACTTACCTGTGTGCGTTCTTTGGTGAGCCTTCAGGTGCGAGCTCTTCGTGTAGACTTTTTTGCAGCCCAGAAATTGGCACTTGTGTATCCGCCGCTTGGCATCCGGGCTGTGATCGCTGCTGTGATGTTGGCGCGGGTGGTGCGACTTCGAGGAGCCTGTGGGTGTGGGTGTGGGTGGAAAAAGGGGTACAGGGTTAAGTGGGGTCCCAAACTGGGTCAAGTGCTGGCCAAACTCACCGTTCGATGACTTTTCAGCCCGTTGCGACAGCACCTGTTGCTGCGGTGTCGCTGTGTTGCTGCTGTTGCTGTTGCTGCTGGTGTTGTTGCTATTGCTGTTGCTGTTGCTGCTGCTGTTGGCTGCTGCATTGAGCACGGCGGCCACATTGGCATTGCCATTGTTCTGCATCTGAATCACACGGGCCAGACTGATTCCCGCTGCTCCAGGTTTGCCATTGGCCGTTGTCAGTCGAACGATGGTGCTGCGCGGAATGTTGCTGTGAGTGGGCTGATCGCTGGCGTTGCTGTTGCTGCTGCTGATGCTGCTGTTGCTGCTGCTGCTGCTGTTGCTGCTGCTGCTGCTGATGCTGCTGCTGCTGCTACTACTGCTGCTGCTGCTGCTGTTGCTGCAATTGCTCTTGGGCGAATTGCTGCCAAGGGCCTGCGGCGATATGCTCAAATGCTGGACGGCCAACTGCTGTTGCTGCTGCTGCAGTTGCGTCATTGTGGGATTGTTCTGGCTGGTGAATCGCAGGATTGCTGTTGCGGGTGTGTTGGTGCTCGTCTGTCGCTGCTGCTGCTGCTGCTGCTGCTGCTGTTGCTGCTGCTGCTGCTGTTGCTGTTGCTGCTGTATCAGGGCGGCCAGATCGTTGGCCTCCAGTTGCTGGGCGTAGTTGTGGCTGCGCAGGCTGGATTCTGGAGAGGAGGGCGGCGTGAGAGTGGGCAACACAAAGTCCTGGACGTGACCCGAGTGCAATCTCGCACTGCTGCCCTGGTGACCTTTGGCCTGGACCACTCGCACCTTGATGCCGGGCGCCGAACTGTTCCTGGCACTCACTGTGATGGTGCTGCCACTGCCCAGACTGCTCAGCGGACTGGCAATGATGCTGCTCCTGTTACTGTTGCTGGTGTTGCTGCTGATGTTGCTGCTGTTGCTGCTGCTGTTGCTGCTGCTGTTGCTGCTGCTGCTGCTGCTGCTGGTGGGCGTCATGTTGCCCGCACTGCCGATGCTGGGATTGGGTGAAATGGCTGAAGGAGGGGCCGCCAGCAGAACACTCAACTTGTCCTCACAGCCCACCTCGTCGTCCTCCTCGTCAATCCGCTCCTGCTTCACCAAGACCGAGCAACTCAACCCGTGGGAGCCATTGCTGTCCCACGAGATGCGCGAGCAGATGGACGAGAGCGAGGAGGTCGTCGAGACCGTGTCCAGGTGCTGCTCCTTGATCTTCAGCTCCTCGAGCAGGCGGGCCGGCGTGGAGAATATGTCCCAGGGGTTGTCCAGATTGCTGTGCATCTTCTGCAGCTTGGGCTCATCCCGCAAATACCCATCCAGTTCGTAAAGGGTCTGTGGCGAAAACGGGAGAAAGAAAAGAAGCGAAAGTTCATGAAATTCGGGCTCCATTAGGGCAGGAGGTTAATGGTAGCTGGCTGGCGCTGGATGCTCCAGCCCAATTCAATTTGCGACGGGCATTTTCGGGCACATTAAGCCGATAATTTAGGGATGCCCGCGGCCAGAAACATAAACATAAATTTCAAATTATGCTTTATGCTTTATGCCTGGCGCAATTACAGGTAATAATTTAGCTCTTTGAATTTATGGCCACAGTTGCATACTTTTCGGGACTTAATGGAGGCGACAATTAAGTGCACATGAAAGGGGGCTGCCTTTGATGGCAGCTCGTTGCAAGAGTGGTGTGCACACGGCAAACAAGCCTCCGGCCAATTGCCACGCCCCTTTGATGCAACGCTTTCATACGCTTTTTGTTCGGTTCGGGCAAGTTCCTTAAAGTCTCCCCACAAATTGAACACATGAACGGCAATTTGCCCAGTCATTTGTATAGATCCCTTTTTCGGGGCATTGGCATTCCAATTTGATTAGAATGGTCATGCAAAGCGCCGAAGGCCAATGAGCCGGAATAAGCAGCCGAAAGGGTCAAAAGGAATGACCATTTCTCCGGATCTCACACACATGCCCTATGCCCGCGTAAATCACTTTAAGTGTTATTTCAAGAAAATAATTGCAACACATAAATTTCACACAACCCTTTTTTCCCCTTGGAAACAGGGAAAACTATGTATAATGGTTTATGAATCGGGATAATGGCTGCGAGGGTCTAGCATCCATAGCTTAGACTTTTCACACATGATTAATGGGCGGCTGCTGCTGCTGCTGGTGCTGCTGCTGCTGCAATTTCCTCCCGCTTTTCTTTTATACCCAGTACCAGTCACAGAATGTGGCGTTGCAATCTTCGAGCAAAAATCTAAATAAAATGTAACATGCGCGCAATGCAAAAGCAATTTGATATATTGTTTTTTGGGGGGTGCCAGGTGGGTAGGTAGGTACTATCAAAAATGGCGTTTTGATTTATGCGATGCTCTGCCTTCGCTGCTCCTGGCGATGCTGCAAACAAATCACGTGAGCCAACAGGCCAAAGATTAGACGCGACTTTCAAATTGCTGCCGGCAAACTCACATCCCATCCTTGGCCATGTCCTTCCACCTGATTGATGGCCGGCGGGTGTGCAGTTCAGGTCCTGGCCAATTTATAAAAAAACAACAAAGCCAGCAATACAGACTCATTTCCCTAGTTGCACACTCTGCAAAAAACAATATGGCGCACTTTTAGCCATGTTAAAACACAATTATCGCACTAATTATGATGCGTTATCTCACGCTCGGTAATTAGTATAATTAGCATGGCAACACTGTATTGCCAGGATGGCTGATATTGTTGGCTAGTTAGATGTTCGGCTAACAACTAAATGTTGGGATTTAAATTAATTTGAAAACCGCTTTCAGATATTGCCAGCTTTGCGGCGGGTTTGAATGGTTTGCGAAATATTGTGGATAAGTGCAAAATCTAATTGCTAACCATCAATTTGAAACGCAGAACAGACTCTTAAAATACACTGATAAAAAAAATGGAATTGGACAAATAAATATCTGAATATTGAACTACAATTTTTAAATCATAATATAATATTAAATACAATCGGCCTTAAATAATTAAGTATTTGAATTAACGTGGAGAACATTAGATTTAAAATAGTTCATATTTGATTTAAATGCATTTTATTTTATCAGTGTACATGTTAGTTTGTTTATAATTCAATACCCGAAAAGTAGGCATAGAACTAAAATAAGCAAGCTAGAGGGAAATAATTTGGCAACTAAGTTGAATAATAACCATAATTCCCGTCAACAACGTGTATGTATGTGCATAATTATGGATATTGACGGGTTTCCCTACTTAAGCCCTTAACAACGGCAACAAGAACACTTAGCAGCAGATTGAAGAGGGCAAAAGTTGCCTCTTTGTTGTAATCAACATAATTATTGTTGGCACAAAGTTTCCCAAGAAGGAAAGTAAGAAAAAAAACAACAACATTTTTCTGTCACTAAGGATGCATGTGTGTGTGGGTGTGTGGGTGTGTGGGGATAAAACTTTTCTACTTTTCTTAGGAAAACTTTTTTTTTTTCTCCGCTGCTCATTTGTGTTTAATAGAAATTTATTTGTGAGGGAGTATGGATGGAGTTTTTTGCGCCATGTAAACTGGTGCGAGGGTGACGACAAAACACTTTTGCGCACTTTTTGCCAGCAATTTATGTTGCTCCACTTTGGGCCACATAAAAATCTTTATTTCCTTAGCGTTTATTTGCCGTCTGCCTTATGTTTCGTTTGCTATTTCTATTCTTGCTTCTGTTTCTGATCCTAAATTGTGGTTCCCCATTTCCCGTTTCCCATTTTCCTTTTGCCCATTTTTTTATTCCTTTCTCCAGGATTGTGTTTTAACTCTAAGCTGGTTTATGCGCTGCACTTAGGCGATGTGGTGACAGCTGCGGTTATTAAAACCTGCAAATTGTATTTATATCCCCCGGCAAAGTGGAACCAAGATTTTGACAAGCCGGAAAGGAAGAAAATAGACATATTTCGGCATAAATTTATTGGCTCACAGATTACCCAGACAGTTGCGAGATTGTGCAGATATTCCCCGCCTGAGCTAAACAAATTATAGAAAAAGCAAGCACCACAATGGAACTTGAAGCCAAGTCAGAGGAAAAAAAAATACAGAAATGCTTAAATTTTTGCAATTATCTAACCACAAATTGTTTGCCTAGTCTAGAGCATTTGAGTTTTCAAGAGAAATAGAGGACCAGAACTCTCAGAACTCTCAGAACTCTCGTTGTGTGGGACTCGAGCAAATACAATTTTGAGCCAAACCGGATGAAATGAATTGTTTGCCCAAGGACCGAAAACCAAAAGCGATCCAGGACTTTGGTAGCAAATTGAATTTGGCCACGGCAAATAGAGTCTGTCATTTTCATCCCCGGCGATGAAAGTGTGTGCGCGTGTGTGGGTGTGTGCCCACACATGCTAATGTAAAATAAAAGCATACGATTAAATTTAATTATCCAGCATGTTTATTAAAGTCCACAAATGCGATATGGCAGTGGGGGGAAAATATCGCACAATTGGGAGAGATTTGGAGTATTTGTCTGGCTGGCAGGCACACATTCACTGCTATCCCCGCGGGATGCCACGCCCACTCCGAGCGCCATTGTGGGCGGAACATATTTAATTATGTGTGTAATTGAAAAAGACGCAACGGCAGTTAAGGAGCACACACACACGCAAGGAGCCTCAAGGAGCAGGAAGCTAAGAAAAATCAAGCCGTGACTATTATGCGGCACATGTCTGCTACAAGTCCTGAATGTCCTGAATGTCCTCGATGTCCTGGATGTCCCGCTGCGATTTCAGTAGGAGTGTGTGAGCATCGCCTCGGTGCGTGTCTGTGTATTAGAAAGACATTAGCAGACGCCAGCGGGCGGCAATCGCCCTGCGGTTACAAAAAGCCGACGATTCAGCGCCAAGGACTCAGGATTCAGGACTCAGCTCCGAGGAGCATCTGCCATCACTCCCAAAAAAAATTACGCTACACAAATACAATTTTGGCTTCTCCACCGCCACAGCCACCGCCTGCATTATGTCATTTAATGAGCCATAATTCCAGAGAGAGCCTTAAGTCCCCCCTCCCCCCTCAAGGGAAATGTTTGCCGAACATTTTTCCCATTTCCCATTTGTGTCTTGTTGTTGACTGCCTCCATTTTGAAAGTTTTAATGAACGAAACGTAATGAAATTATGCCGACAATTAATGTGTCCCGAACTGGAAACGCAGAAAGCACTTTAAGAAGGCACTGTCCCATTTGGGAGGAGCATTGGCTTTAAGCTGGAAAAGTAGACAGGCAGATGTTCTTTCTCTAATTTATATTCAACTAATGTCAGAGAAGACCCAACAACTAGAATTATCTTAAAAGTGTAAAATTGAACTTCAATTGTAAGAAATAAAAACCTTAAAGATAATCCTCGCCCTTAGATTTAAGAAATATTTTCGTTTTTTTGTGCATTTGATTCGAGTTAAGATACTTAGCCACAGTAAATTTGGAAAATAAATTCTGCAGATGCTATTTCTCTCATTAAGGGAAAACACATTCCAAGCGAATCATAACATGTGTGATTGAAATTCGAATATTTACAAACAGAGGCAAGCTTAAGGTCCCTGCTCGGGCGCCAAGAAGCTATATTGAAATACCAAATTATGTCTCGTTTATGCATCACCTTGAAGTACTCCACAAATTAGTGAAATAATTGCAGGTGCATATATCCAATGTATTTCTCACTCATTGTCGAGTAAATATATTTCGCAAGACACGCAACATGCCATACCTCACATACCATATTTATGTCTATATATGGAACACACATACACTCATGCCTGGAGATTACACACAGATTGATACGTTTCGTGTGTCGTTTGGATTGCAACTATTGTTTTCAATTTACGTCCTGCTGTGCAGCTTTGAGTGAATCCCCCTCGTGCCTTCAAGAAGCTGCTGAAAGCAGGGCGATGCTTCTCCTTGTTATCTGGCTGTCAGCTAAGTGACTTCTTAATACGAGGGCGAGACAGTGGCTGCAATCTGTGGAGTCTGGAGTTGTAAGAGCAGCACGAGTAGCAGCAACAATATCAGCCAGTCACTAGTCACTCGATTTGGCAATAACAATAAGCCAGACACGGAGTTGAGGGTGTTTGGTGGCTGAGAGCTGAGAGCTGAGGGCTGAGGGCTGAGGGCCAAGAGGTGACAGACGCAGCAGGATAATTGAATTATTGGCATTATCACTGCATTTGCACTTACAACCAAACTCCATCGCCAAACTCCAAACTGCTTCAGCTCATTCGGCCACATTACAAAGTGTAATGCGTTGATTTACTTGACCTGCCCCGCTGAAAACCCGCTGCAGTTGTTTGTCAGCTTCACTGTTTGTTTGTTTTCGGGCTGGGAAAGTG